CATCCTGCATTCCTGGGTGTTCATTTTTCAGCCTAAAATAAAATTGAAATAAGACTTTGGGCCAGAAACTCGACATCTTCATCCTCTTCTAGGATGCTGAGCAGGCAGTGGTGGTGGGCTCCAGGCAGTGACCACCTGAAGCTTTGTCCTGTTGAGGAGAGAGAGATCCTCCCACTCAGCTCTCACTGCCGTGTGTCGCCTTTCTGGGCAAAATCAAGGCTGTAATTCCATGTCGCTGAAATTTCCATGGTTAGTTCTTGTCTAGGGGAAGAGGTGGGTTCTGGGCTGGTTTGCAGTCAGGAGGAGGTCAGGAACATGACAATCTCTCCAAGAGCCCTGCCCACATTTCCGGCTTGGAAAAAGGAGTTTGAGGTTGCAGCAAAGTGATGGACTCAGCACCTCCTGCTCTGGTGGGTAAGACAGGGCAGGAGGAAAGACCTGGTTAAAAATCAACACACCTCCACTCCAAGTGTCTCTAGAGGAGTCCACAGGCCTTGACTGTGAACTGAACACAATGAGAAAAGGAAGTGAGAGACCCAGATTAAGAACAAATCCTTCATTAAGGGCTTATCTGGTCCACATAAAAAAAGCAAACATGGCAATCATTGTTTGGGCTATAATAGAAAAAGCTTTAATATGTGTTACAACCGTGTAAAGGGGAATGGAATATTTTCCCTGGTTGTCCACAGGCCAAAGCTGAGGAAGGAAGTGAAACAAGGATGGCAAAAGAGGAGAAAGGAGAAGACAGGAAAAAGCCACTTAGCACAATAAATCTGCTTCTCAGCCCTCACTTCCCTGGTGCATGGCTGGAGCCTTTACTCTTTCTCTGAACACGCGTCTCTGTCTCCCAAAATCACGGCAGGGACTCACAGAAGTGTAGAACATCCTTCAGCTGAAGATGGTGGCATATTTTACTTTAATTTTTTTCAGCTTTGTAGCTTATTTAGGAGCAGGTTCTTCAGGCACACAGGAATTTAATATTAATAACTGAGATGTTTTGACTGGATGCATAAGAAACACAATCTGCTTGTTTGTTTGTTTGTTCATACTGAAGAAATTTCAGCTCCTGGTTTTGTTTTCCAAGTGTTCTGGGAATTCCCAAATTAACAGACAAGATGTGGAACAGTTTCAGGTGTGAGGTGACAAGATGGGGTCACACACAGTAGCATGGCCTGCATCAAACTCCCTTTTCGAGACATCCTTTGGTAAATAACTCATCTCTCTGAATCCACCACCACAATCTCTGAGCAGTTCTCGCAGGGACAGACCACGCAGAGCCTCTGGAAGCTGGAGGGAACCTTTGGTGGGAAACTGCAGAAAAGCCTGTCATGGGATTTTTCCTGCCTGTGTCATTAAGAGTTTAACATGTGCCACGAAGCACGAGGGTTATTTGATTTTTGCCTATCAACAGTGACTCCCATTAACCCAATTCAAGGAGATTCCTGGTTTATAAAAGGATTAGGGCCCCATTCCTAAAGCCTGGTTACATTTAGCCAATAAATGCTGGATTGTAGCATTTCTCCCTCTGCAACCTTTCACTGTGTTCTATGTGCCCTTTTTACCAAACACTGGCTGTGTTTTCAGTTCCCAGAACTGTTATTCCCCCTTCCCTGTGGAAGGAGGCATTCCCTCTTACCTCTGTCAAAAGGTATTTAATGGATCTGCCTCATCCACAACCAGCAGGACCCAGACCCGAGCGAGTTCACACTTTATTTCCACAGCACACTGCAGTTGTCAGGGCAGCACCATAGGTAAAAATGCCTGGGAGATGTGATCACCACCACAGCCAAAGTGTTACGTTTTAATGTTCTCAGCAACATTTTCTTACCAAAATTTTTTTCCCCTGAAAACAGAACTAGGCACGTGGCAGAAACATGCATTCACCCTCAGTTTTAAACATGATTTTTGGGAAGGTGTTTGCTCTCACACTAAATCTGGTCTAGGGGAGGGTGTCCCTGCCCATGGCAGGGGGTTGGAACCAGATGATCTTTATGATCCCTTCCAAGTCAAACCATTCCATGATTCTTTGATTCTATAAATTACCCTGTATGACTTTTTCTTGTTTCATCAACATCTCAAGCCTACCACCACAGCAATAAACTGAAATAAGGACTGGTTCCAGTGTTGGCAGACAGGAGAAGTGAGCTTTTTCCAAGCTTAAGAACAAAAGTGTGTAAAAATCTTGTTAAATACAAACTAAAAATTGACACAATAGCTTCTCAATAACTTCCACTTCATACCTGTCACATCATTCCTGAATTTTCCAGATATATCTGCTCTGATTGGAGTAGAGGAAGTCATCTATCTTCCTGGACAGAACCAGAGTTGCAGCCAAAGAAATGAAATCCCAGGTACAGGTGAGAAGAATGCTCTCCTCTACCTTTTTTTTTTTGGGGGGGAGGGGGAAATAAAGGCACCAAAAATCCAGTATTACTGAGTTCTGTTATTGTTTTTTTTTTTAAATTCTGGCACCCACAGGGCAGAATGACAGATCTGTGGTTAAAATAGAGCCAGGAAAAGAGCAAGTGAGTCTATTCAGGGATGCATTTGGGAACACTCTGCTCGGCTCGGACAGCGATGGCTCTCACCAGATCCATTCCCAGCTCAGCCGGGCTCGGGGTCACCTTTCCACTGCGGATCAACCGAGACGAGGGATCAAGTCACAAAAATGCCACAGCAACTCTCTCTTCTTCCTAGAAACCTAAATTTAAAAAGGGCTTGGTGCACACACAGCAGATGTTTCAAGAACTTTTACGCTGTGTGTAATTCCTTGCGATTCCTTGGCGGGGGTTTTCTGGGGGTTTGCAGCAGGTCTTTCCCCCAAACCCGTGGGGTGTGCACGAGGTGAGTGCAGAACCCTGGAACTGTGCCTGTAAATTCTCATTCCCGCCACTTTTCAGCTGAATAATCCAAACCCACTAAATATAAAATGTGTTGCAATTTGCAACTGCGCTATTGCAAAAATCAGAAAATGGTAAAATTGCTTGTTGCAACATTCACACCTATTGCAGAAACAACATTTTTTTTTCAAATCTCTACAGTTTCCTTCATAATTCTGCAGGAAATTCCTGTACCAAGGGTCACCCTAGGAGGAATCCTGCCTGCAAGGTTATATGAATAATTTAGACTAGTTTAGAATAATTTACCTTTTAAATTGTAATAATACAAATTACTTTTGCTGCTCCTGTAAAAGACAGCTCCCCTTTCCATCAGGGTCTTCCCACACAAACTGCTATGAAGACAAGTTGGCCAAATAAGTGAGCTGTGAGAATGGAAAGGTTTTATTTTCTGCTCCTCCTTGGCTTCATAAACCTTATTTTGCAAGATCCTGTAAGGTGTGATGTTACACGGGTGGAGGAGCATCAAGGCACAGGGGAACAGCACATGGGCATCCAGCCCTTCTTTCAGAGACAGAAGGAAAGCTTCCAAAATAAAATACAACAGGACTTTGCCTGAGATGAAGGTTTGTTTTCCCTCAGTAATGGTTGCATATCCCACCTGCACAGGGTTTGAAAGAGGTTACTGGGTTTTGTCTGCCCAAAGGGAAAACGAGGAGCACTCATGGGAAGGGGGCACAAGCAACTGCTGCTTGACAGACCCCTGAAGCTTCACTTTGAATGGGTGTCCTTCTGCAGAGCACCAAAAATTACGGATGCTCCATCTGCAAGAGGAAAAGTTGCCCAGCTTGAGAAGGGCAAATGAGAATGGCCTGACCTGGAGCCACAGAAACTCCTCCCTAATTTAATCACGTAAGGACTACTTCTATATTGCCTTTTCACTGCCTTCCATAAGTCTTGCCGATGACTTTAAGTGTCATTTCCCACTATTTGACTGCAGCTCTTGGTCATTTTCACTGGTTTTTGCTATTTTATGCTGGGCTATAAAGTGGAGTTGCCGCATGGCAGAGGGAGTGACTCAACTCTACCTTGGGAATGCTGGACGAGCACCACTGTAGCTGATCTCTAGTCAGTGTTTTAGAGCTTCTACCCTGTCTTCTTGCCCTCATTTCTTAATGACTTAAGACTTGGCTTTGGCTTGGTTGTAGCCTGCCCCTTATCTCTCTAATTTGAATGTCCTGAGAGGCTGCAAGTAGCTGGAGCAGGAGCTTGATGCTGACTTGAGGGGACATCAACAACTGCCACTTGTACAGCCCTTCTCCTGCTCTTTACTCCTCGGTACTTCCACACCCACACAGTCCCACTCACAGCAACATGAACACTCCTGTTTTGAGTCAGAAAATGCCTTCTTTTTTCCCTTTCTTCTTTTAAAGAAGCAGAGTGTCACACAAGTCCCTCCACTGAGTGTTCACAGCTGTAAAAGCCCGTTAGATGAGGCTGTATTTGCAGGCAACAGTGGGACTTCCTCTCTTCGGAAACGGAGCAACTTTCTATTTTGGGCTGTGCTGACTCAAGGGTGAGGTACCCAAGCTGATTCAGCAGCTTGGCAAGCCAGGAGAACTTCTGGTTATGAACAGAATGAGCAATAAATTTTGTCTTCGTCTTACAGAAATGTATATTTGAGTGAAGCCACCTCCTGGTGGCAGACATTTTGCCAAACAAGCAGAATATTCTGCATTGCTTTCAGCATAAAGACCTCTCCAATGAAACAACCATAAAGCCTGCAAGTAAAATCCGGTCCCACAGGAGCCAGAGATTCCCACTCTAACGGACCAGGATTTATCCTCCCTCTTGAGTCACATAAAAAGACCCAATTCACATAAAAAGGTCTTCTACTGCTTACTCACTTATTTTATCTGAGCATCTGGTATACAAAATTGCCTCAGCAACAGGAATAAGTTGAACAGCAATTTCAGAAGGATGAAAGCACACAACACAAAACCAACCTGGCCACTGTGAGGAAGTGAGAAGAACGCACCACCCACTTACTCAGCTTCTGTGGCTTCGTATGGAAAAGATGTCAAAGGTAATCCTTGTGCTCTTCTGCTATGGAAAAATGAGATAAGCACTGTGATACTTGAATAATTTTAAAAACCATGGAGCAGGAACAATGTTTCACAATATTTTCTAATGTTTGCCTGTGATCTATGAAAACAAGTCAGAAAATCTGGTGGGTTTTGGTTTTTCTAATGAGTTCTTTCACCTAGAGGTTACCAGGATTCAAAACAATGAATGCTGCACATGTCCACAAGGATGAAGACAGAGAAGTTTGTAAGAAAGTGAGATGTTGCCATTTATTAAGGTAAGAAAGGAGGGAACGGGGCATCCGAGCTGTCTCCCTTGAGTCTGTGTGATGGCCAAAACAGATTTTAACATATTTGCCTCCAATATTTATTCTGTTTCCAGACAGGACCAATAGTCCATGACGCCTGTTCCTTCAGGCTGCAAGTTTTCCTTTGACAGCACACAATAAAAGCTGCAAACTTCTTAATAGCATTCCTCCTCCCCAGCTCCACCAACCACGCTGGCATTAAGACACGCCGTTGTTCCAGCCAGCCGTTCCCATGTCATATTCTTCTGCCTCGTGAAGGCGGTTTGTGAAGTCTAAAAAAGCATCATGTGGGTTGTCACATTTCAGAACCCCCTAAATAACTCCGTGTGGCTCCATCAGATAAGCGGCGAAGTACAATATTATGAACGTCAAACAAGAGCTCATCATTGGAGCTGGCAAAGCTGTGCCTCCGAGAGGAGGAGTAAACTCAGTTCTGTAGACTAAATATGTATATTAGTGGCATGAAGCTAAGAGAACTCTGCAAGTAGGATTTGTATTTGCCCAGCTACTGCTCTGCAAAGTATCTCTTCCAACCCAGCCTTTGAGAAAGGAAACCAGTCACAGAGTACTTTGGAAGGGTGGCCAGAATTCTCCACAGGAGACCAGCACAACCCAGGCCAGAAGGAACCCAAGACTCAAAATCCAGACTGTGTGGAGGCTCCCAGCACTACCAGGATGTGCTCAATGTGGTTGCTAAGAAAGTGATTCGAAGGAAGCATCTTCCTTGAAGAAAGCTACAGACATTAGGAATATAATACTGCCTGTATTATCCAATAGTGTGGGGTTAAACTCCTCCTGGATAAAAACAAACCAGAAGGTGGCAGGGGGGTAATAATGGATACAACTTCAAACCACTTCTTGCCCTCTAAAACAAACCTTACTCATGCTTGATGTAAATCCAAGCATCACTGGCATTTCTTGCTTGCTGCTTATATGTATTTATTCTTGAGTTCAACAGAGAAAAAAAAAATCATGATAAAAGCAAAGTCAAGTTAAAAATTCAGTCTTTCAGGAGACAGCATTAGGTCTGTCCCAGCCAGAACAGAGCTAATGAAAAATGAAGACAAGACAACTGGTCCCCAACAACGGAAACACAGTGTGCTTCCACAGTGTTCCACATGCCCTCTCACTTGGTAATGAGAGGGGAAGTTGGAGAATGGCTGGGCCAGTAAGTGTTGGGCATCTGTTCCATCCAAAAGATCAAGAGGAGGACCAGGATAGGAGTCTATGAGTTAGTAATGGGAGCTTCCTTGGGGGAGCAAGGATTCTGAACAACCTCAAAATCCCGATGTGAAGCTCACCAAAGCAGGGTTTGACAAGTCAGATGTCTCCTTCCATCCCACTTCACTCCTTCGAACCAGCTGGGAAAGAGGAACTACTTCATTAGCAGAGATCAAAAGCTGTCTCTGACTAGTAGCCAGACAAAATTTGGGATCATGTGGGTCACTCAGTGAAAACTTGTGATGTAGCCAGTATCTTTGATGTGATTCTGTTTATTCTAAGAACATACAAAGTCCCGCTTTATTGAGCACAGGGGGAGCAAGATACACTTCTCTTGCTTCTCACTGAGCTTTGCTCTTGCCTGTCCTCCTCCTCCTCCTCCTGCACACAAGTTGGTCCATGTCCAACAGATGCTGGATTCTTCTAAGTGCACACAGGGAATTCTGTATGAGTGGCATCTCTCCCTGGACTGCGTGAGCACACTCGTGCACCTGAGCTCCCTCTGGGCAGGACACACACCTGAACCTCCTTCTCCCTGCGCTCACCCACGGCTGCACATACACAACAGCCTCATCTGGAATGAAGGAGCCATTCCACATCCTCATCCTCACCTCAGGTGAAAATTAAAGCCCAGCCAAGCAAGTTTCAGTAATTTTAAAGGCCTCAAATTTCACTACAGTCCAGGCAAGTAATATTTTACTTATTTACTGCCTGTGTATTCTCAATCACCCTGGACCAAAGGAACTGAGTGAAGTCACGACTTTGTTGATACCAGAGGGAACACACACACATCTTCAGCTGGAGGGAAATGGACCCTGATGTTCTTCTCAACAACATCCTCGCTTAGAAATAATAATGGCTTAAACTATTTTCTGTCCTCCACCATATTTTAGTTCTTTCTAGTTCCTGCCTTTTTCAGAGGATGTTTGGGAAATGGAGCTGATCCAGACTGGCAGTTGAACTCAAAAGCAATAACAATAATACAAAACCATCATTTAAAAAGCCTGTAAAAATCTATGCTGAAATTTTGGTACCTCTTAAATCTCAAAAGTTCAAATCACACGATTTCTACAACAACAAAAATCTTACAGGTTTACATAACAAAGTGAAAAAAACACACATAGTTTTACCTCAAAGTCTTTGCCAGTGAGGTCACTTTTTCCACCACGTCTTTGAATCCTTGGAAGTTGTAGCACTTCTTTAATCCTCCAGATTAAATAAATTCATCATCCTTTATGAAGTCAAAATGTAACTTAAAGTACATTAAGATGAATCAATAAAAAAGTTGGACAGAACTTTTAGTAAATTTATCAATTAATAGGCAAACCCAGGAGGCCATCCTGCCTTTCTGCTCTGTCAGCTCAGGGATTTCTTTCCTCCCAACAGTGTTTATGTAAGAGCCGCATGGAAAGCAGCAGTCACTATAAAATATTGATCAGCTGAGCCATTAGCTGGAATCCAAGAGACAACTGTGTCATAGCAAAAACAGAACAAGTACTGCTACTGATTGGAAATTTTTATTATAGATTATTTTGGTATTTGAGCACGTCAGGAAATAAATTTTTTTTCAAAATAGTGTTAGTAAAAACATGTGTTACGGCATGGTTAAGGGGAGAAGAAGCATCTTTACAAAGGAGAGGGAAAAAAAGGCAGGTTTCAGTTTCAGTAACTGTGCGGCCACAGATTTTCTATTATGATTTTTGAAAAAGATCATTATGGTTGGAAAAGACCTGCAAGACCACTGAGTCCAGTCTTCGACCCAACACCACCATGCCCACTAAGCCATACCACGAAATGCCACGTCCACTTGTTTTCTGAACACTTCCAGGGATGGTGACTCCACCACTGCCCTGGGCAGCCCTTCCAATGTTTAGTAACCCTTTCTGGAAAGAAATTTGCCCAATATCCAATCCAAACCTCCCCTGGTATAACTTGAGGCCGTTTCCTCTCATCCCATCCCTTGTTCCCTGGGAGCAGAGCCCGAACCCCCCCAGTTCCCCCCTCCTGTCAGGGAGTTGCAGAGAGTGAGAAGGTCCCCCCTGAGCCTCCTTTTCTCCAGGCTGAGCCCCCCCAGCTCCCTCAGCTGCTCCTGCTGCTCCAGACCCTTTCCCAAGTCTATTCCCTTCTCCTGACACGCTCCAGCCCAAGGCGTGAGGAGCCCAGAACTGTCCCAAGGATTGGAGGGGCCTCAGCAGTGCACAGCACTGCCCTGGTCCTGCTGGCCACAATATCACTGGTACAAGCCAGGGTGCCTTTGGATTTATTTTATGGAATGGTGTGGTCTTCAGAAGAGAAGGGACTTACTGTTTGGGAAGAGGCACTGCAGAACGCAGGACTGCTGAAGTGAAGTGCTTTTCTGGGAAAGGCTCACCTGGAAACCCGTAAATGGGATTCAGGGAAGCAGAAGCCACAGCAGGAAGAACCGGGGCTGGAGCTGAGGGGCTGAGAGGGACGAGGTGGGACCAATTTGGGAGCATCACCTGTGAGCCAGGGTGAGGGACAGAGCTGGGAGGGGGAGATGGAGCTGTACCACGAGCAGAAACCCCGCGAAGGAGGGAAAGCCACGGGCCATCTGCGAGCAGAGATAATGAAACCGAGGGAGCGGTGCGGGGAGATAGCGTCAGCCATAAACAAGCGGAGGAGAAAAATAACGCGGCGAGTTTGCAGCAGGGCTCGGGCTGAATTGTTTGGTACAGCGCGTGTTGTCTGCGCACGACAAGTGTCAGCCGGAGGGGAGGGCGGTGGCGGGGGCAGCCCGGGAACCCCGCACCCGGCCCCTCGCTGAGAGCTGTCCCCGCTGAGGGGCCCGCGCGCCTCCTGCCACCCCTCGCTGTCCCGCCGCTCCCTCACGGACGGTCCCACCACCATCGCGCCCGCCCGTCCCTCCCTGAGGGGACCGTTCCCCGCTCCTGCCCGCGCCCCTCGCGCTGGGGCGGGAAGTCTGGGAGGGGGGGGGCGCGCGCTCCCGCCGCACCGCCGCGCCCTATTGGCGAGCGGGGGCGCGCTCCCGCAGCCCCCCCGCGCCCCCCCCCCGCGCCGCGGGGAAGATGGTGGCGGCCGCCTGAGCGCGTCCCAGTGCTCCCCTTCCTCCCCTCAGACAGGCGGGCGGGCGGGCGGAGCGCAGGGGAGCGGTCGCCGCTGCCGTCCCGGCTGGGCGGGCGGTTGAGGGCGGGAGGCGGCCCCTTGTCGGCGGCCGTGAGGGGAGGAAGCGGCGGGGCAGCTGCACCGACATGGAGGAGCGGTCCCCTCCCGGCGGGGGCCCGGCGTCCCCCCCGCGGGGCTGAGCCAGCGGCCCGCCCGCCCCGCGCCTCGGGAGGGCTGCGGGGGAGCGGGGCCAGCGGCGGGCGGCGGCAGCCCCGGCCCAGGCGAGGGGACTATGCGGGGCTGCCACGGCGCGCTGTGTGCGGAGCCCGGCGAGCGGCCGAACGCCGCGGCGCTGCCCGGCCGCCCCTCCGCGGCGAGGACCGGGGGAGACTAGAGGCGACTCTGCGAGGAGCCCGGTGGCTTCGGCAGCCCCTGAGACCCAACTCCGTCGCGGGCTCTTGAGGAGGAATTGACAACATGGCTTCCCCACCGCACCAGCAGCTGCTGCATCACCACAGCACCGAGGTGAGCTGCGACTCCAGCGGGGACAGCAACAGCGTGACGGTGAAAATCAACCCCAAGCAGCACCAGGGCTGCTCCTCTTCCAAGCACTGCAAGTACAGCATCTCCTCCAGCTGCAGCTCGGGGGAGTCGGGGGGCACCCGCCGAGCCGGCGGAGCCGGCGGCAGTGGCTCCGGCCTCCGCCGGCCGAAGAAGCTGCCGCAGCTCTTCGAGAGGGCCTCTTCCAAGTGGTGGAACCCCAAGTTCGACTCCAACAACCTGGAGGAGGCTTGCATGGAGAGATGCTTCCCGCAGACCCAGCGCAGGTTTCGCTATGCCCTCTTCTACATCGGCGTGGCCTGCCTGCTCTGGGGCATCTACTTCGGCGTACACATGAGGGAGAAACAGATTGTTTTCATGGTGCCGGCTCTGTGCTTCCTCCTGGTATGTGTAGCTTTTTTTGTGTTCACTTTCACTAAGACCTACGCCCGCCATTACGTCTGGACTTCTCTGATACTCACCCTCCTGGTGTTTGCTCTGACCCTCGCTCCGCAGTTCCAGGCTCTGAAGCCTGTCTCAGGAAGTGGTGACATGTCCAATCGGACTCCCCCGGCAGATCCCACAGACACTTGTCTTTCTCAAGTGGGCAGTTTTTCTATGTGTATCGAAGTGCTCTTGTTGCTTTACACGGTGATGCACTTACCCCTGTATTTAAGCTTGTTTCTGGGACTGTCCTACTCGGTCCTATTCGAGACCTTTGGTTATCACTTCCGCGACGAGAACTGTTTCACACCTCTCGGAGCCGGCGCGGTTTACTGGGAACTCCTGAGTAAAGCCTTCCTGCACATCTGCATCCATGCCATTGGCATTCATTTATTTATCATGTCCGAAGTCAGATCGAGAAGCACATTCCTGAAAGTGGGGCAATCCATCATGCATGGAAAAGACTTGGAAGTGGAAAAAGCCCTGAAAGAGAGGATGATTCATTCTGTTATGCCAAGAATAATAGCCGATGACTTAATGAAGCAGGGCGATGATGAAAGTGAAAACTCCATCAAACGTCATTCCACCTCAAGCCCCAAAAACAGGAAGAAGAAGCCCTCCATACAGAAAACCCCCATAATATTCCGTCCTTTTAAAATGCAGCAGATAGAGCAGGTGAGCATTTTGTTCGCAGATATCGTCGGCTTCACGAAAATGAGCGCCAACAAATCAGCCCACGCGCTGGTGGGACTCCTGAACGACCTCTTCGGGCGCTTTGACCGTCTGTGCGAGGACACTAAATGTGAGAAGATCAGCACTTTGGGGGACTGTTACTACTGCGTGGCCGGCTGCCCCGAGCCCCGGCCGGATCACGCGTACTGCTGCATCGAGATGGGCTTGGGCATGATCAGGGCCATCGAGCAGTTCTGCCAGGAGAAGAAAGAAATGGTGAACATGAGAGTCGGCGTTCACACTGGGACGGTCCTGTGTGGCATTTTGGGGATGAGGAGGTTCAAGTTCGACGTGTGGTCCAACGATGTCAATTTGGCCAATCTGATGGAGCAGCTCGGGGTGGCTGGGAAGGTCCATATTTCAGAAGCTACTGCCAAATATTTGGATGATCGTTACGAAATGGAGGATGGGAAGGTGATTGAGCGCGTTGGTCAGAGCGTGGTAGCTGACCAGTTGAAAGGTACGTGCTCTTGGTGCTTTCAATTTGTGCTTGTTTTTCTTTTAGGAGAGAAAATAGTTGCCCTGCTCTGTGCTTGCTGACCAGCAAATTGAACGTGTTTTACATTTAACTCCCCGTGCTGGTGATCACAGGCACCGTGGTAATTACAGAATAAAAAGTGCCACAGAGATAAGTGTGAAATATCTGGGGTACTCAAAACGGGCTTTAAGACTCAGCACTCCTTGTGAGAGTCACCTCGTAGGGATGAGAAGGTTCATGTGTTTGCTGTCTGCAAGAGGTTTTTGTTTTACTGTTGTGTGTCATCCTTTAACTCAGTAAGTAAACTTGTTAATTGACTTCATGTGCCATACAAAGAGCATATGTGTTTTGCAAAATTATGTATATCTGTGAAAAGGTTTTTCTGGCATCGGGAGAGTTGGGACTGCGAAGGCATTTGGGAAAAATGACAGCTGGATTCACAGAAAGAAATGAGCACTGTAGATTTGGCAGTTTGATATGGCAAGTTGTTGCAGTTCGGAGTTAGGCTGGAAAAAGTTACTCAGGTGGCTCAGTGAGCTGGCAGATGCTCTCCTTTCTGCAGCTTGAAGGATTTGGGGATGAAACTGCAAATTTGCCATTTGGAGAAGAAAATGAGGGATCCTTTGGTTCCCCTTGGCTAAGGGTCCGATTTTCATTTTTCTGCAGTGTTCATTTTGAAGTGAAACCCTTGGCTGCTTTCTAGCAGCACTTGGAGGCGTGTGCAGGAGGGTTGTACACGCTGAGGGTTTAATTGTCTCTTTTGTCAAAGCTCTGTCTCTTTGGTTCTGTGCCTTTGTCTCACAGAGAGATGATTGTCTGCAGTGGGGAGCTCCCCAAAGTGGGGAGCAGATGGACCAAAATGGGAGTGGAATATGTGACAAACCCTTCTATACTGTCTCTGTGTCTAAAAGCACCCATTTTTTTGAAGTAAGCGTGGAAAACCGAGCGAAAGAACCCGCAGGAGTCACAGACAGGCGCTGTGATGGAGGAAGGAGGTGTTTGTTGCAACAAACACAGGGGAGGCCGGGCTGGTTGTGGAAAGGTCAGTGAGTAAGGACGTGGGGAGAGCTCTGCAGAGCAGTGGCAGCAGCAGTGGCAGCCACTCGCCCCTGGCAGGTGCTTGTTCTGCTGTGACACAAAAACTTATTTTTGGTGAGCTGGCTGTCCACAGGCAGATGGCAACGGGGCTGCAGAGGAAGGCTCACGGGGAGCAGCGAGATCCACAGTGACATTGGTGGCTGGAAGCCATAGGATTGAAGCAGATGTGTGTCCCTGGGCTTTGGCTTTCTGTTTAGCTTCTAAAAATACAAATTCAGTTAATTTCTTTGAAAACTGTTGATGCTGATGTATGTCAGTGGGAGTGTGCTTTCAAGAAGATGGGGATCAGAAGTGGTCTCCCTGTTACTCTAAGATGAATTTTGCTGTTCTGCTGAAAATACGTTGAATAGGTTGTAGATAAACATCCCTGTGATATTTCCCTCCTCCATGCACCTTTGCAGCCAGATGCAGTGTGAGGGCCATGTTGTAGCAACAAATGAAATTCAGTATTTTTGCTGTGTTTATAATTGTACTTGGTATTAATCCCAAAATGACATGAACTTAGTTGTGGAGACTGACAGTACTGCTCTTAAATATTCTTATTTATTTGTTTATATTTTCTAGGAGATCACAAGAGCACAGTGTAGAGCAATTATACCCCATGCCAGGAGTGATTTTTCATGGTATTTCTCAGACTTCTGTCCTTGGTTATGTTTATCATGAGAGGGCACAGGCTGCTGTGCCTCCTCAGTACAGTGGTTTGGATTTTGCAGCTCTGAGTGCCTTTCACAGCTCCTGCTTCAGCCAGGGCACTACAGATGGACAAACTGAAATGCAGTCCAGATAAGATGAAGTTTGCTTTGTGGACTGACATTTAATGGTCTCTCCTTACTCTGAAATGTAGCTATGAAAGCAGCTGGAGCATGTGGTAAGAATTACTTTAACAAGGAATATGGGTTGGGTTTTTTTTTTTCTTCCCCATTTCCCTTCTGTGTTTTGTTGTGGCACTGTAATTAGCTTCCATTTCTTACCAATGTCTTACACAGTTTTAGAAATCAGAATCTATCTGTACTTCTAAACCAAGCACACCTCTGCTGTGACCATCTTTATCCACAGGTTTGTAGCTCCTTTCCCTCTGATGCCCAGACTTTCAGGGGCACGTGGAGGGTGCTGCAGAGTTGCCCATTTCTTCTTGTTTCCTCAGAACTTTGTTCCACAACCAGATTACTCAGCTGGTAGGTAAATGACATCAGGGAAAAAAAAAAAAAGGCAGTGATAAAAGCCATTGAAGAGCAGTGCCACAGGCTGGTGTCTGGGACCTGCTGCAGGGGAGGGTTTTGTTAGGGAGCAGCTCTGAGATTTAATAAGGGAGACTGAGATTTCACTTGCTAATTAATTGTTCTGTGCCAAGCACCTGCTCGGTTCTGTGA